GGTTGGTTTTCTCTTCCAGCTGCTAACTCAGTCTGGGAACTGAAAGCGAAGATATGAGCTCTCCTCGTCACCTCAAGCACTGTCACCCAGCACACAACCTCGACGTGCCTGTGGTGTGCATGCTGTGGCTGTGCTGGGTACTTGCTGGGGTAGGTGGGCTACGTGCCACGATGTCACGGGTGCGTGGGCTGCAAGACACGGGGATGCAGATGCTTAGCACGGGTGTGCAGGGTGCATGCTGTGCATACACAGGGTGCACGCTGTGGGATCCGGGGGGCACTCTGCAGGAACGTGAGGCACACGCTGCGGGCACCCTGCCTGAGGGCAGCCCAGCCAAGGTTATGTGCAGCAATTCAGAAGTCACAGCCAGACGTGATGCCTGAGACAATGGACAGGCAGAGCGTGCAGTTGGCAGTTGGAGGGAAAACCCCTCTCCTCTTTCTTTTAACAAATCAAACGCGATCCTGCAACAGGATGAAAGGTAGGCACTCGGCAGGACAAGCCAGGCTGACTCAGCTGGGATTTATGTGGATATGCCAGCTGGTCACATCAGATGGCCACTAGCCCTGAGCACGGCACTCTTCCAGAACCTTTCCAATCCCCTGCTGAGACAATGACCTGTTCTCACAGGATGGGACAGCACTGCATCCAAAGGCAACAGGCAATAAACAGGCACCTCAGCAGGAGCCAGGTAACGTGGAAAAACGTGACTGTGGTGCAATGGCATGCGGACACAGCTGGGGAGCGAAGCCCAAGGGCCAGCTGGTCATCCACGGCCCTGGAGACCGCCATCCCAGCATGACCTCAGGGCACTGGTTGCTCAACCGGCGGCACAAGGCCAGGGGCTGATGGGCAGGCCTGAGGTTGCTCCTGTGAGGTCAGGGTGACTCAGCGTGATTCAGGGAGGAAAACGGTGAAGAGTAAACATCTGAAGGAAGGAGGACACAGCCCACATGTGATGGCACCTGGAGGTGCTTGGGACCCCCATGCTGCAAGCTATGATGGGTGCTGGGCTGCACCATCAGAAGGCAGGAGGAAGGACAAGGAAAAACCTCAAAATCAGGCCATGGATGCTGTTTCAAAATGAGGAAGATGGTTGAACGTCCTCAGGGTGCTGCCACCCCTGAGAAGGGTGGCACTGTCCCATTCTCTGATCCCTGCCACCCCACCTTGGGGATGGGGCACCCTGGGGATGCTGCACCCATCAGCCCCAGTATTTCCTGCAGGCTGACAAAGAGGATGGCTGCTGCAGATGGGAGAAGAGCCGCCCCAAGGAGTCAGTCAGAGCTCAGCCTTGGCCCACTGCCACACCACAGAGGGTTGTTATCTCTGGGCATCTCATGGGGCACTGCAGAAAGTAATGATGTGGTGGTTTTGCTCTTCAAAATGAAGTGGCCTTCTCTGGGTAGCATCCCTCAAAGGCCTGTCCCATGCTCACAAGAGCATGCCAGGTTTGAGCTAGCAAGAGTGCACAGAGTGGGACCTTCAGCCACAATGTCCTCACTGTACTGGGTGCAGCTATGAGCCTTATAGTGACCTAAAGAATGACTTTTGCTGGACACCTGGGACTGGACCTCCTGCTGTGCATTAAGTGGCTGCCACAGGCCAGCTTGGGGATACTTGTAATTAAAGGGGGGGGTGAAATGCCTTGCTCCAATCACAGAAAAAAAATGAAAAACTCACAGAACTATTAAGCAGAAGAAATCCATGGTGCACATTCAGTCTCTCTCTATTGAAGATGGCATTTTATTAGAGTTATTTTGATCTGAGAAGATTACCCTGCACTTAGCACAACACTACATGAGTCTTGACCTATGGAAGACATCTTTTTGCAAGGAAAAAACATATTAATTCACAGCTCCCTTTCCCAGGAACCTCTTACAGAGAGTTTGACTATGGTGGCTGAGTGGGTGGGTGGTTAGTCTTGCTTCCTGTCCAGGAGGGCTTCTAGGAACAAACCTGCCTTTGTGGACAGTGCTTAGCTAGAGGAAAGGACAATTCACCAAGAGGTCCCTCCACTCTCCATCAAGAGCTTTGCCCAGACGCATTGCAGAAGCTGAACATCCCATGCTGTCAGTTCTGCACTGCTAAGAGGAAAAGAGAATGCAAAGGGAACCTGCTAAAAACCCAGACAACCCCTCGAATCATCATCAGCTAAGAGATAGAACTCCAAGGGGAGAAAGGGAAAGAGAGGAAGAAAATTAACCTGTCCATTAAAGAGGTGGGAGAATGGAGAGATGTAAGTCTGGAGAGAACATATTGCTGTCAGTAGGAGGGGATGGCTTTTCACACCACGTAACTGGAAGCAAAACCTATGTGCAGTGGAGAAGAGGGTCCCTGGATGTGAAGTCTGAAATTATCAGCCGTGCATACATCACCTTCCAAGTGAAGATGCATTTGTGCAGCTATAAGACTCTCTGTTTTAATCAAATGAGCAGACTTGCTTTCCCCTCCTCAATCCCATGTTCTCCCAGGCACACAGACAATCCTCAGAGGTTCGATCTGCAACAAAACCTTGACGCAAGTGCCTCTGACCTACAGACACAAATCCATTTATCGCTGGGCTGGGAGGGTGGACAAAGAGCAGTGGTGTCTCAGAGTTGGGTGCCAGGGCCACTCTCTGATTCAGCAAAGCCCTTGATAAGAAATGTCATCCTTCATTGAGTAATTTTAGCCCACGAGATAAGAATCTCTATCAGGCTCAAACATATGGCTGGCTGCAGAGCATGCAGCAAAATGAGACGGGTAATTTATTTGCTTGTGCTAAGAGCACTCCCAGACCCAGAAAAGCTGATGCAATGAAATAATAAGTGCCAAATTACACTCCATTCTTCTTTGGAGACCTCGAAGAGGCTCCTGTGAGATACACAAGGGATTGTACCTCTCTCCTTCAAGCACCAAGACACCAAGAAGACAATATTCTACACAATTAATTGAAGACTGGGCTTCATAGGATTTTCTGAGGTCTGCTCTTCTCATTAAATCCTACTTGTTACACAGGAATTCACACCCACACATGTGACTGGTGCTCTGTATGAAGTGCCAGTAGATGCTTTCCAGGGGAGGAAGCGGAGGGGTTAAATGACCTAATTACAAAGGACTGAGGGTGAACTCCAATCTCCTGAGGTGAGCCCTAGACATTAGGGCAGGACCATCAGCCCACCAGGTGCTGTGACGTCCACCAGCCGAGTCCAACTTAGAACCTCTGATTTAGGTGACCCGGGCTAATCCATATAAACATGCTATTGGGCCAGACACTGCATGGCTTAGGTTGCTTAGAGTAATGAACTCCGTAACCTGAGTATGAGAGCAGCATCTGATCCACTGGGACAACTAAAGGACACTCCAAAGAAGCACTTAGCACATTTACACACAGGCTGCTAGAAGGATCTGCTGAGGAAAACCCATCCCTAGAGAGCTCTTTCTTATACTCTTTCCTCTCTTGGCTGTCATCAAGGGAGATACCAAACTAGATGGTCTCACTCTGTACAGCCACTTCTACTCCCTCACATCTTCATCATGGCAGCTGCCGTTCAATGTGTATCACACACTCCCTCACCATAACCTTTTAATGGGTAATGTCACTCTCAAACTTAAGATTAACATCTAAACATCTATTCTGAAACAGAAACTTATGATTAAACTGCAAATGTTTTAATTTGGTTCTTCCAAGAAACTGGGCCAGATCCAGACTCTGATTCAAACCTGCTTTAGAAATGTAGCAGCTACACCCTTGGTCACAGACAGTCTCTTTACTGCTGTGAAATCATCACTGCTTCCTGGACAGTGGTATCTTCCCATCACCATATCTACCCATATCACTGGCATTCTCACTGGAAATATCAGCAGTTAAACCAACAACTGAATGAGTCACAGAGGTTAAAAACTTCTAATAGTAAATGACGATACTTTCAGCTCAGTGCTGAGATGTGAGGGGAAAGGGGAGCAAGGAAACCCCTGATCCAAGAAAATGAGGGTATTTTCTTCTCAATGGAGTTCAATTCAGCATTTTTCATCATTGCCATATTTATTAGGGAATGCTGTCATGACAATAAAGGTCCCCATGCAGACGCTGGCTTGGCCTTCATGGCAACATCACACATACCAGCCTCAGAGAAGGAGTCTGATGAACCCTTTCTACCCTCACTGCCACAGCCTTCACATGAATCACGGACTGCACAAAGCACAGAGAGGAAAGCCACATGTCCCTCATGTCTGTGGAGTTGTATTGCTAGAACAAACCAAGCTTGACACCCCTCTGTCATCCTGGCCAGCCTTCTTCTCCAAGGAATGCTTCCAGCATTCCAGAGCCCAGGGCCCAGCGTGAGGAGCCATGCATGTTTGTGGGGAAAAACATTTGCAGTAGGAAAGAAGATAAAAAATAAATCAAGCTTCAACTTTCTTCTCAGCAGCCAATGTTTTCCAGTTCTCCAAAGGTAGTAAATTGAAACCAGATAATTTTGCTCTATTTTTTTTCACCTCCTGCCTTTCTCCTCTTCTGGCTTTGGATGAAGCAACATGATAAGCCCATACAATTCAGCTCACTCTGTATCTCACCGATTTGGAAAATACATCACTGTCATGTACTGGAGCTGGAGCTGCAAACACTGCAGATGAGTGTAAGAGACTTGTCATCCTTATTTCTAACAACAAAGCAACAAATTCCTCAGGCATAAAGTAAAGGCACAAAGTGTCCTCCAGAAGTGACATCTTTAGTGTGTGTGTGTGTTTAAGCAGAAATACTTGAAATATTAAGAATTAGATATGTGGACAACTATGACGGTAGAGATTTGCTGATGATTTTTACATGAAGCCTGCTCAAGTCATGGGTGATTGCAGGGCACAGGAAGTGGGCAGCAGAACAGAAGAGGGAATGGGGGCAGTAGGAGAAACTATTCTAATCAATGCATGAACTCATCCCACTTCTTGTCTGATTGATATTTGAGTGAAGTAGAAAGGAAAGAAAATGTTTGGCTGGTTTGGTGGTAGTTTTTTTTTACCTTATTATGAAGCTCCAGTCCCACTCTGGAAGTCAGGAAGCTGGCTTGTAGCATCACCTCTCCTCTTTCTTCCTGCATCTTCCCTTAGGCACCTTCTCCCCAGACAAAATCTGTCTCTAAAACAAGATCTATATGCCAGGCTTTTCTCCTTTTGAGCACTCCTCTGAATGGCAACACAGTATTGATTTTCATTACTTGTGCAAAGCAGTCAAGTAATGCTCTTTCTCCTGTGTGATACTGGAGATATAAACTTAAGCTCCACTGTCCTCAAAGTCTAGAGGGAGGGTTGCCTGGCAAGTTCAGAAAGTCTTCTGAAATATTGTAATCCAAGCCAAATTGCAGCTCATCAAGCTTCATCATCCAGAGAGTGGATACACCTGTAAAGAAAACACAGTTTTAGTATCTGGATCAGGACAGATTGACAAACTTCTGGGCTTTAAGCATGATTTCTATTAGTATCAAAAGAGTGATGTGTGGTTTACCCTTCAAAGGACACCTTGACCTTGCAGTACTGACAGAAGAACATCTTGTTCTTGCCTGAAGATTCAGCCAACAGAAGGTACTACTCAAACAGAGACAAACAAGGGATGTCTGAAAAACTTAATTCTATCATCCCTACAGGGTTTAAAGATCTTAATTTTTTTTTTTTTACTATTCCAAATAAGTGGGAAAAAATATAAAAACCTTGACATTTTTAAGGTTGCTACATTGAAACTCATGTTGACTTGAAGCACTTTGTTTCAACAGTTGGAAAATTTCCCTTTGTGGTCATAAACTTTTACACTTCGCATTATAAGTTCCATTAGAAACAAAGAATCCTTTTGAGTACAAATTCAAAACCAAAATGAAAACACAGTTAGAAAGTTTAGATGCACTCTTAGTAGCCAGTAACCCTAATCCAGTAACCCTAACCCTCTCCAAATTTTTACTATACTTTTTCCAGAAAGAAGGATTATTGAAGTTGATTGTCTCCTGAGGGTGCATTCAACTGCAACATGGTGGAGTATTAGTGACAAAGCCACAGTCAGCTCAAATGCCAACAAAGGAAACATTGAGCTACTTTAATCAAATTAAGTGGATTTTAATACACAATGCGATATAGTTAGTTTTACGTGTAAATTCTACCCTAAAACAATTTCAGTGCTCAACTACAGACTCACACAGACTAGCAAAATGACTACAACATGTGTTGATTAATACTAACACAGACATTGCTCCACTGGGTATAACACACAGGTCCAATGAGGAGGCAGGAAAAACTCCAAAAATCGTATCTGGATTGAATTCTAAGTTTTATCAAAAATAGCAATTTTTTGTGCACAGAGAGAAACATAAACACAGTATCTAGGTACTTTATATAAACTAAACACTTTCATGATGTCCAGGAGCTCCTCCAGCAGACACTGGCCAGACACAAGCAGCCCAACACAATGGTTCTGAAAAGAAATAAGCAGCCTTCATCTGTGTTCAGGGGATATTTGGGAGAGGTGAAGAATCAACACCACGGAGATCCCTTCAAGGTTTCTTTGGATGGGAAGAGCCACAGAAGAAAAGGTCAGCAGCCTCATCCCATCAGGAACAAACTGCAAGCTAACTCCAACCCAGCAACTGGGAAGGATTTCCAGGGCAGGTGATACAGAAACTAGCTCAGGTTTAGAAGACAGTTGGGAATAACTTGCAATTTAGCCTCATAAAAGAAGAGATCTCTTTTATCCATGGATGTTTGGTCCTATCCAGAGGTAATGTTCCTAGTTACAGAGACCCGTGGTGGATCCTCTGCCCATGGTGGGGGGTTGGAATAGATGATCTCTACAGTCCCTTCCAGCCCAGGCCTTTCTATGATATGATTCTATGAGAAGCAGGAGGGCTGGTCTAAGCTGCTGAAGAAACTCCCTCCACTTTGGATGTAAGATGTGGCACAGGAGGTACAAATCCACTGATGCTCAAACATACCTTTGCTAGGGAAGCCGAGTGGGATGGATCACCTCATTGCCAGAAGGAACAAGATCATAACTGGTGTGGAAGAAGCAAATGGCTCTGGCACTCCCTGGGAGCATGGGAAATTCAGTTAAGAAGACAGAAAACAGGGCCCAAGCCATGAGGGTGGCAACATCATCCGCAGCTCCAGAAATGCATCTCTTTGACCATCTCTTGCTGATTTCTCTGTTTACATGACAAACATTTATATGCCATGCTGCCTCTCTTGCTGCAAGACCTTCAGTGCTGTTTTGGGGCCCTGACTCTCTGAAGAACCCCACACACAAACCAAGGGGATACAGGCTCCTCTGGGGTTGTACAACTCTGTTCATCATGTCCATCTCCATCCTGGCAATCACTGGGCCAGGCTCTCCCTGCCACATAATTCAAACCACTTGATGGCCCATCCTTTGACATGTCACAGTGCTGTGTCATGCATTAGAGAGGAAGAGACAGGAATAGGATGAGATCTGCACCTTTGGGCCATTTGTCTCACAGGCACCAACCACATCAACATCTCCTCCTCACGGAAGGACTTTGCCACACCCCAACCACACGCTTCCACCTTCTTCCCCCATTTTAACGTGCACAACCTCCAACGTCACCCCATCACCCCTGGAGGGAGGTGACACAATAGCCCTCATTTGGGGTGGTGAGATTCTTTTCTTCTTCAAAGACCTTGTGGCTGCCAAGCACCTTTCAACACCAGGTGTCCACGTCAGTACTTTCCAGTGAGCACCACAAACCGGTCTGCTCTGAAGACACGCTCTCTGTGACGTTGAAAATCAGCCACCAGCAGAAGTCATTGAGGAAGAGGGAGGAAGAGCAGTGGGGTGGAAGGAGCTCCAGTGTACACCAGAGCTGGGTATGCATCAGAAGGGCTGTGACCATACGTCACATAAGTTTGCAGTGTGCAGCCTAGAAGGAGACTGCATGGCTCAGGGCCCTTGGAATTATGGAATGTTATCCTCAGGCTGCTGGCAATATTCCCTTGGGCAGGGCACAATGCTGACACAGTGACATTAAAAGCACAACTTCCAATAGCATCCTGGCTGCCCAAAGCCTTGGCATGAGACAGCTGAGCTGTCCCAAAGCTGACCCTCCCTGGAGGAACACCGCATGCTGACAATCCTGGCACAGGGATTAGCAAGGCAGTGTTAAAGTGCTAAACACAGACAGAACCAGGGAGCGAAACAGCTTCCTGCAAATAAGGGGACTGGTAGGAACATCTTTGCACACATTTGCCGCTGCACAAGGAGAGCCTGCTCTGCTCTCAACTGAAGTCAGTGTTCAGATGGACAAATGTCTTGCCCACATGGCTGAGCTGCAATAGCACAGGTACACAGTGACCTGTAACCAGGCAAACCTGGGGTACAGTACTTACAATTACATGCAAGACTACCTCCAAACACCCTGCCCGAATGGTAAAAGCACGAATAATTTGAGTTACAGTCTGGATTGCCTTCCTCTCCCACGCTTCCTTGGCAGCTGGTTGTCCCTGCTTCTGCTGCTGAATTTCCCCCTCCTCCCCATTCCTGCATTACTCGTGAATTAGCAACACACACAGCAGCAGGCAGTAAAACACACCAGCAGCACTGCTGAAGGCACCAACTTCAACAGTGGCTTAAGCAGATGTGCTAAGGAAACATCTGGATGTTATTAAGAAAAAGCTTTCTAGGTTCCCCATCAGATCAACACCTCTGTTTCCTCTGAATCATTATACAAAAGAAACAACACAGAACCAATAATAAAAACACCTCAATTGAAAATACAGTCAGCTCACTCTAATGTCTGGAAATTCACCAGCACAGATCCAAACCAGGGGTCAAGTCAAGGAGCTTGGTGCTACACTCTGTAGCCAGCAATGACAGGTTTGGCTGGTACAGGACTTGCAGGTTAACCATCTCCATGGGAGAAAGCAATCCATCAAGATCTGAAGAGGTTAAAAATATCTGTAGGACTCTGGAGCTCATAGCATGTGTCTGTCCCATGCCATCAAGCACTGGAGATACATCTCAGGGTTATTTCCCTCCTGTAAACTACTTTCCTTCCCCCAGCTCTGTAAAATACATTCCTAGCAGCTCTCAGCTGTGTAAAGATTTTTTACATGTGGCTGGTACAGTGAGAAAGGTTGGACTAAAACTCCTTTCAGAATACAAATTAAGAAAAAAAAATACATCAAAAAGATTAAAGAGACGCTAGGCATATTAAAGAAATGGCTACATGGAAACTTTTTAAACATACGAGACCTACACAACTGACTGAGGCAAGAGGCATAATTAGCCCAATGTGAGCTCACAAGGCAGGCCCACGACACTTGGCTACATAGGCGAAGAATGTCACGTACCAGCAGGGGAGGCCCTGTTATCTTTGGGCCTTGGGCTGGTACAGCCGCTGGGAGAGCGAGGTTTAATACTTGTACCCACACTTCAAGAATAATGCTGGAAAAACTGGAGAGAGTTCAGAGGACAACCACAAGAACAAACCCAGGCTTGTAGCAAGGAGCTCAAGGAAGTCAATCAAAGAGAAAGTTAAAAGGCACCTCACAGCCTGTAGGTACCTGTCAGAAGAGTGTTCCTTAGTCTGCCAGACAAAGGCATAATGAGACCAAAGGTTGAAAGTTGAAGCTCCACAGAAAACAAACCAGAAACAACTACAACATTTTTCAACACTGCAGGTAATTAACAAAGAGAAAAGTTCTCCAACTGCCATGGACGAGGATCCAGAACTGGCAATTTTTAAAATAAGATGGGATGCTTCCACCTTGCTTCCTTCTCTCGCTCCCCCAAAAGTGTATGCTTGGTTCCACTCCCAACTACTGACCCCTGAATGGAAACTAAATCAAGGAATCTCTGTTATACAGCAGGTCAGACTAAACAAGCACCACGACATTAAAGCCTAGAAATCAATGAGGTGCAAAGAACAAGAGGCCAAATTATTGGTGGTACAAAGAACAAGAGGCCCCATTATCAGCGGTTGGGCTTGTCCATCCCCAGAGATCCCTGTCCCATCCAAAAGTCCTCTGCATCCCATCACTATCAAGATGTGGATTTTACTGAAGAGCAGCAAAAGTGCCAGATCCCTGCCACAAGAAGCAAAGCAAGATCCTGTTAAACCAAGAAACCCCCTCCAACTTTTTTTCCCAACTAAAAAACCAGGAAAAATCACATCCAGACAAAAGCAAGTAAAAAAAAATAACATAGGGCAGAAAGAAAGCATGATATAAGAAATAAGTACTCTATAGTGAGAACAATCATTCATTCACTGGAACAACCTCCCCAGGGAGATGGTGAAGTCCCCATCACTGGAGGTTTTCAAAATGCAACTGCACAACGTTGCTACAATCACCTAGGCTCCCTTTCCCACAGAAGATTGGACCAGATGATTCCTTCCAGTCTGG